TGCGGTGCGTTTTCGGAGAGATCCGTCATTCTGTCACGGTTGCCGGCGGGCGAGCGGTGATGCAGGAGAGTCCAGCCGGTGAGACGGGCAAACGGTTTTTAATTGAGCACACAGGACTAAACACAGCAACACTACACTGACAATACAATGACGGATCTGGGGAAGACTGACTCAGGCGAGGACTAAATACAAAAGCAAAGCTAGACATAACAGGACTCAGGTGATCACAATCAGGGCTGAACACGAGGTAACGAGGTGGGCGTGGCACACATCGGGATCGAAACAGATATCTTGTTGTATGGCTAGATGCAAACCACTTCAGTTTCCAAACTTCTCCTCAGTGGCACCCCAGCTCCTGAATTAGTTAATAAATTAGTTTTATAAAACAATGAGGTATTCATTAGCCATATGAGGTGTTAGAAAATAAATGGGATTATAGGATGGTTGCTGAACAAAACTGGTGTGACTTTAGGAGTGGGTTTGACATGTTTGAGCTAAAATACTTTCACAAACATATTATAGTTTTTTGCCAACATAAAGATTATTTAAACATCATTTTCTTTGCCTGATTAAAGACTTTTGCACAGTACTGTAGGTGGTCCAAAAGAACAAAATGTTTTAGTAGAGTACATCTAAGTCATCTTTAAAATGAACTGTGAAAATGTAATTTATGCCTTAGGTTATACAAGCATTTAGGTTATACAAGTACTTATCTTTATGGTTGTCTGTGTGTGCAAGACAGGGATCTGTTATAATTTGGAAGTAGAGGTTGTTGTATAATATATGGTTTGCTGTATGTGTGTTATGATATAGAATGTAAGACAGCAGACAGTAGGGGGCGGAGTGGCCATCAGGAGCACCATGAGATTTCCTGATGGGCTGCTGGTATTTCCAGGCTTGTCTAGCTGCCATGCACACCTTTTAAAATTCTCCTAAATAAATGTACATGCATATAGTGAATCAATAAAGAGACGGCCCCTCCCCCAGTGGTACGGCCCCACTTCACGTACATGTGAATGGCATGGGCATAGATTTGGTTTCAATGGTGGGAGGGACCAAATCAGCCCCAAAGCTCCCACCCTCCTAAACACACACTATACTTCCGTAATATTTGTAGAGACATGTCCCTGTCATCCATGCCCAAATTTATGCCCTTGCATTGTGGAGAAAAGATAGCAGCACCTACTAAAATAAAAAAAATGAAAATGGTACAAACCTTCTTTGCATAAAACTAAACTGTAGGGATAGGATACCACTGATCTTCTATCAGATCTGATTTTGATTCAGTCCAAGGCTGGTATGGCTGATATCAATCTTGTAACTGATATTCAGTGCAGGCCCAGCACTACCAATTACATAACAATAGCAATATTAACATCTAACTGTTATGTTAGAATCAATTTACAAAATGAAACAATTCACATTGAAGTAATTGAGTATTTCAGTTTTGATCCACACATCCCTACTAAACTGCATTTTGCATTGGATGGAAAACTGGAAATAATGGGAAAAGGTGCTGCTGAGAATGGAAGGAAAAGCAAAAAAAAATGCATTGAAGGAGGATGCAGCAAAACACATGAAAATTTCAGCTTTATTTAAAACAGGTCAGCAAAGTTGTAGTCTGTTAACTTTACATCAGCCTAAAATGCACTGGGATGCTGTTCCTAATCAAGTAACAAAAAAAGTGGGAATTAGCATTACGCATATAACTCATATTGACACTGATGCATAGTCATGCCTACAGAGAAAGACATTCTTGTGTTTTTGGACACTGATGTTGTCTTTAATTGTAGAAAAGCCCGATAATTTGCTAAGGAAGCTACTCTAGGTCTACTCACCATAGATCTATTATC